AAATCAGTACGGAAGTACAGATTAAAAAACAAAAAGGGTCCCTGACACGGTTTGTCTTAATAAACAATGAAGGAGAGGCAAGAAGTCGACTTGGCTTATTGCTGGGGGTCATTAGATCAAGGTGATGTGACATACGTCACACCGTTTTTGTTGTTTTCCGTCTTTGCGAATAATATATCTGGGGACGCAACATTGTTTAGCACACACAGTTTCAAAGAGAATTTACCCATTGTTCTATGGGCGTAGTTAGCAACCAAATGACGTCATTTATTGTAAAGCTTCCAAAGTAAATGAGGTTGTTATTAACTTTTCCTTCCTTCACATTTAACACTCATTTTTGGAGCGATATAAATGTGAATGTCCCATGATTTTTACTAAGTCTTTAGCTACGTGATATAGGCCACGTATTGTTACACCTTCAGGGAAATTTGCACACAAATTACATACTTGTTTTATTAATAAAAATGTTCAATGACTTTGATGCCTAGTTTTTGGGGCATTTTGGGGTCAAATCATCTATGGGAGTTGGTACCGAAATGCGGTAGTAAAAGTATATGACACTTCACGCATACTAATCTACTTCCGACTCAATCACAGGATGAGTGTATCTACATCATTGTCCAACCGTCCACATAGGGTTGTCAGTTCACTTCCCGACGCCTGTCCTTATAAACATTGGCTCGACTTACATTTCCGTGTTGGCAGTTGACACAGCCTTCATTTGTTTTGCTTACATAATGAACGCTTAGAAATACATCTTGAGTGCTTAAATCTACGTGTTTGTGAATTTTAATTTGGACATAATTTGTTTGAATGTAATTTATTTTTCGCTGTATCTCATATAAAAGTAATACACGTTATATTAGGAATGGCAAAACTTAATAACGTTGCCTTTTCATTTGTTTGGCGTAAACCATCCCACGTTATTAAGGCTTCGAATATAATATTCTCCGTTCTTTCTGACTGGGGGATGAAACCCAATTATCTTCGCTACGTTTTTATTATCTATGCTTCTAATAATATGCTCATTCGACGAGATAATAAGACTCTTTCATAGAGGACTAAATTAAGGGTAGAATCGTGTCATGATACTGTAGTCAAACATTGAAGTTGATTCGGTTAATTTATCCGGTTTTCGTGGCCAAGTTAATCTAAATTTGAGTCAGACGATTAGATGCTTCCTTCCAGCGTCTCAAGGTCACCGGTCAATGCCGCCGCGTTATCATTCGCTAAATAAATAACTGTTTGATAACTTACTTTTGTTTTATGAGGCTGAGATAATGCTACAAAGAATTTTGAGAACATTTTTTACTCGGTGATAATGCTTTGCATTTTATGTGTCGACTAGGTCGGTCAAGTGCGAATTTTATCTGTATTAAGACAAATATTTCAAGCATGAACTAACTACCCAGGACTCACTGTCTTATGATATTACATACTTTTTATTTTTTTTTACTATTCCTCTGGCGACATCTTTGTGCATCTTTTGTGGGAAAGAAAAATAACTACGTAGATAGTTCTTTAGAATTTCGGAACCTATTGATCCTAAAAAACCGTCTTGTAAAGGACTTTTTGATACAGCTTACAAACCTAACCTAATAAAAGTACGTTTAAATGCAATAGAAGTATACAAATACAATTAACCACTGTAACATGAGGGTCCACAGAAGTGTTAGTCAGTTACTACACAATTTAAGAGAAATGTCCGGGCAACGAAGGTCGTCTTGACGGCATTGTTCATCTCTCACGCCGCGACTAATTGCGTTGCAAATGAGACACTTACCACGTGGGACGCGACTGTACTCACAAACTGACAAGCCTTCGCTCGTTCCATCCATTTCTTTGCTATTGGCATCTAATATGTCTTTATGCGGGTATGATGAGAATTTATAATTAGCGATCCAATCAATGGCAACCCTTGTAAAAACCAATTAAGCAACGAAAGGTAGGGTTAGTTCACGGAAATATGTAGAAAGAATGTTTAAGTACTTTACATTTTTGATAGTTTTTGAAATAAAAGTAGGAATATGAACTCAAATTCCTTCTCAAGGGAAGAAACTAATCTCAATTGTAATCAATGAATATGTTCCCGAATGAGAACCGGCAGCTGTCTCTATGTAGTTCCATCGGGATGTTATTAAGTTGACCCAAATACAACTATTCAGAATTTCATTAAGGAACCGAGAGTGTATTGCTTATCTGATTTACATTCATATGACATGAATCACTATAAGCCATACATATATTAGGTACTGGGTTCACAATTATAGCCTGAAGATAAAAAAAAGTAACAAATGTTCCTTTGTACATAACTAAATATTTATAGAAGTGTTCGGTGACGGAGTAAATACTATCAAAATGTTATTTGGTCGACTGTTATTTCTCGAAACTGAGATACAGATGAGTTCTATCATATTTTTGCAGATGCTAGATGGCTCTTCTGTTGATTATGGATATACTAATCTTTGTTAACCTTTAAGTCATTTTTGAACTATTTTGTTTTATAACCATTACTTAGAGTGCATAAGGAGCTAATGAGTGCACTTTTGTCATTAAATTATGAACTGGTAATAAATGGTTTATGACCTGCAGGTGACAACCGGTTGCTAACGTTTGCATCAATATTTATACACAGCTAGAGCTCATTAACAGGGTATGTGTCATACAGCATGTCTCTTGAATTGTCATCGTTTTATCATTTACCACAAAGAATTACTTACCAAAAACGATAGTAATGTTTGTCTGCATTTTGGGTAAAGATTAGGCACATAATTTTGATAAGTAGGTGTATACAGATCTGTATTTGCTTGGGCATTTTTTTTAAATGCCCAAGCTGGTACTCAAGTAAAAGTCAAAATCATTTATTACGACTAAACCACAAATTGGTACGTTTGAAATGTCAAAGTATTGTAATAAAGTAAGTTTGCCATTCGCCATAATAAACGTTGTATACATATAATACGTATATTAAAGCGCCACTCCCGACCCAGTTTCGTCGAGTTTGCTATGTCCCGATGTTCGCGGTGATAATATAGATTTTGCTTAAATACAAATTCTGCTCATCTTCTATTGGTAATAGTGTGAGTTTTTATAAACTAAAGCCTTCTCTGGAAAATGGTCTATCCAACACAAAATAATTATTGAATTCGAACCAACAGTTTCAGAGTTTAGCGCGACTAAAAACAAACAATCATACAAACTCTGCTTTATAATATTAGTATAGATATATTTAGATAAAGTAAATGGTTATTCCTACAATAAGTTTATAAGATTCTGTGAGAGGGATCTAGAGTTATTTTACCACCCCCTGTCACCTGACAAAGTATCTGATTAGTTCCATTCTCCTTACTTTGCAACCTTGATTAATTATAATTTTCAATAATTTATGAATCATCCATTTCCAACTAACGTAAAGAACAATAAGGAAAAAAATTCATTACAAAAATCACGAAGTTAATCTTTAGCCGTAAAATAACAGATACATACTTAGCTATTTAGCCCTCAATTGTTGTCATTTAATTGATAAACTCTAGGTTTAAAATAGATAATTTGTATTAATATCATTCAGTGGCGATAGTGATAATCGGAATCGATATCTGGACCGCGTTGCGAACATGTATGGAATAATTAATTCGTTAGGACCTTGGTTTTGAATCTGCTAAAAGGTTATTGGAACAACGCTGACGCATATTGTGGGCATCTTTAATCATTATGTAACCGTCATCTGGTATTTAATTTGAATTTTTGCGATCGAACGTTGCTGTTGTTTATAAATTTTGACTGGAATTATATAAACAAAATATTAAAATTATATAAGATATTATTGGACTTTTCCTAGGCGTTTTTTATATGTTAGAGATATACCATATACGTTTATTCGTAGGTAGGTTCGTATAAGTAGGTTTTTCAGCTAAACTAATGCGGATGAAGGAAACAGACAGGGAAGTAAAATTAACTATTACGTTTTAATCGTAAAGTTATTAGAATTGTAATAAAAACCTCGGGTTTTATTATTAATAAAAGTATTATTACCTATAGTGATGCAATGAACGCCGTACTCTTTTGTGCACTAAACTCCTCAAAAGGAAATTAGGGGCTTTCCGAACTGCAGTCTGATAGAAAGTTCTAGATTTATAATTAGTCCTTCCGTCCTTGAAATATTAGCTACATGCATATTTACATGTGCGCCACATTATCACTCGATACTATATATTAATATGTTATTGTAATGGGGCGCTTATCAAGATAACAAACATTACACTCAAGATTCCAATTGTTTGCAGATTTTCTCGAGTTGATTAAAATTGTGTCATTGTGTCTTCATCTGATTAACAATGGAAATATATGCAAAACGAAATATGGAACCTCTTTAGTCAGGCAGGCTTTGTATGTATGATGGTAGAGTATTTTTTAGAAAAGTCTAAGTATATGGTTTTGCCAAAGTAGAAAATTGTAGTACATTGAGTAAATCGAAAATTTGTGCTTAAGTATATATTCATTCTCAATGCGCAATAATGAGCTCTAATAGGTTTCGGTTAAGGATAAGAAAGCTCAATTTGACTGTCAGATTATTTTGCCCTATTTTCAGTTGGCCTTTAACACAAAAGAGCTCAAAAACTGTTGTCCTGTATACTTCATACAATGTAAGCAAGATGCAAGCGGTGTGTTAAGATTAATGATATCACAAACTGACAGAGAAAGCCCAACGCGACAACGCAAGCGCTACTTGTTGATAGTGATTGATTATAATGGCCTTACATTGATTCATATATAGCGGAATTGTACTAACTACTGGGATATAGGTGTGGTAGACGCGGCGGTTGCATAATTAGATAGGTACTAAACGTAAAAAGATCTAGATTTTAGGACACGAAAAAAGACGCTAAAACTTCTAATGGGTTCTATCCTCTAAAACGACTAGAATTGTTGAAAAATATTCTAGAAACCACCGTAACTTAAAAAAATATTTCTGCAGAACTAATTCCATAATCCTATTCCAGTTTGCTTCAAAATCTTCGACCTGGACAGCGATGGAGTGCTCAACAAGAAAGAACTCATCGATATGGTCGGGATCCTTTGCACAGTTGCCAACGAGAGCCTTAAGAACCAGGGTTCTAGAGCATCCACACCTTCAGACAGCAATGATTCCGAGAGCACGGAGAAAGGGTTTGACCCTGAAGTCATCCTGGTTAACTTGAGGGAGAAACTGGTCACCGTGCCCAAGAATGGAAGGAAACCAGTGTTCCAGTTGGGTCCCAATGGTGATGATAATAAAGAGGAGATTATTGTTTTAAAAGAGGTTTGTATGTTTACTGTAGTAGTAATGTCAATTTGGCTTTGAAAAATATTCTGTTTTATTTTTGTTATCGATTTTTTAAACAAAAATGTTTTGTTTGACTTTCAAAAGTGCCTGTAAGGGTCTAATTGTAAATGATTTTTGACTTTTTTACTTTATTTATTCTGTTTAAAAGTCTAAAAACGGTAGATTTTAGTTTGAAGGAGGACTTTCTGGTGTTATAAAATCAATGTCAATTCAATTACCTATACATATGTCTTCTGCTGTTTTCATTTTTGAGATGTTATACTTTTTATTTTATATAATTTCAGCAACAAATTCAAGAACAACAAGATGAAATACAGCCCGAAGAAGATCTAGAGAGCGAAGGTCTGATAGCTAACGACATGGCGCTGACTCTCGAGGACTTCTTGATATGGAGCGTGGAGAGTGCGGAGTCGCTGGTAACACCGTTCCTGGACTTATTGTTCGAGGTCTGCCATATTGTGCTGGGTCTAAGGCCACAGTGCAAACATCAGGAGAGGGATATTGGTGAGTACAACTGTTTTTTATTTTTATTATTAGCGCCGCGACGTCGGTATTCTTGGACACAGGAGGGTTGCGTGTCTTTTCAAAAGGAGTAAGTGTTTTGTGTTGATCATAAATGTGGATAATATAGGTCTTGGAATCAATTAGAGTATGAGTAAAAGGTATGAGTATAGGGGTTTTGTAGGTAGTGTCAAGTCAGGTCTAGATTAAACCCCAATGTATAACCTAACCGTCAATCACCTTTAAAATAAGTCTATAAGTACCCCATTTCAGTACAACAATAGAAGGTCAGATTCCACAGCAAAATAAAGGAGATAATGTGAATATAATGAAGTGGAAAGTTTACTACCTAGTTATTTGATAAAACAAATTGACGCTGAAGTGGTTGGAGTGAATTTAACATTCGAGTTTCAAGTGTTTCACCCGTTAATAACATTATCGTAAGAGGTAAATTAAAGTCACGTTTTTAACGATTATTTACAAAATATTGTTCAGTTTGTCGCGAAAACAGTAAAATATTAAACATTCAGATAGACAGTTACGTAACAAGACTATAATTAATTCCATCTTCATTCAAGTGTTCACAATCACAATGTTACCGCGCTATAATTAGCGAGCACTTCTTATATTGACAAGTTTGTATAAATACCAACTTTAATAACAAACTAATAAGGTCAGTTTTTGAATAGAAACAACATGCAATTATAATAAATCTACTAGTTTAAACGGAATTGAACTCTAACTTAAAGTCGTTAAGGTAGTAAATCATTTGATGGCGGTCGTTATAAATTTTGACCGTCCAATGCGTAGTTGATATTGCAAGGATGAGAAGCTTGTAAACATTGTTATCTATGTATAATGTCGCGGTAGACTCGACTTCAGTGGACGGAGACTTATCGCACCTTATCGGACATGTAAACCTTAATTTTCATATAATTATGCAGTTAAGCTCCGGGCTTAGATTGTCATTGTATAACTTTGTTAGTTTTAAATGATTTTGAATATATACCGATACATATTCAGTGATTTATGTAGATCTTTTCTATCTCATCTCATCAAAACAACACTATGAATGTTTAATAATACTGACGTCAATAGATTTGTTTTTTCATTTTGTAAATTGAGTACCTACAAAATATTTATTAATGCATCATACATAGTGTGTGTTGTGTCTATGCTTTGATTTGATTACACGGACCTTTGAAGGCTAGAGAAGAGGCAGTTGAAGAGAAAAGTAGGTAGATTATATTGATTGTATCGCATATAGTAGCAGGAATATAGCGATTAGGTCTTTCCGGAATTGTAGTCAAATACTTTTTCATATGACATATATAACAAGAAATCATTTTTTATTTGTCTGCTCCAAGTTAACCAACTAGTCACAGGGCTAAACACAGTTAACTTAAAAGATATTTGTACCAAATCCTCCCCCGCTCTCTCTTCTTTCTTTCTTTTTTTAAAAACGTTGCCCCACATTAGGGTTTTCTCCTGTGTCGTGGGTGCGGTTACAAACATACAATTTCACATACACATGACACCCAGACCCGGAACAACAATTTGTTGTCTTTGAACAACAATTTCTTCTCTGAACTCTTCTTAACTTTTATTAACTTCAAAATAGCCAGATATTTTTATGGCCCATACGAGTGAAGTTGGCAAAACATGTGTGACTATATAACATTAGTCAGTTATATCATTTACCAATTCCAGTGAAAACTCAAAAAGTTATATTGTTTTAACAATAAGTAGATACTTGTAACTGCAAGTCAATTGTGATAAGAACATGTTTAGTGGTTTAACTTGAATACTAGTAGTACCTACACTGCCCCCGTTAGTAAAAAAGACGCATCTAACATTTTTTCCAGATTTGAGTTAAATACATTGTCGGGATCAGAAAAAAAAAGCGCATCTGCCTGTATTTTTAATATTTTGCTAACTTTCTCCAGTGCGGTTTTAACACAACGAAATAAGACGCTTCTGTATTTTTTTTTAAATCTGATTGAAGATGAAAAGACGAATTTATCGGAAACTTAGTTGAAAAGTCGCATTTAAGTAGATAATGTTCATTTAGTCTAAAGTTTTTTTCTTAGTTCGGTAATGTAAAAGGCACATATTTGTCCCTATTTCTAAGAGGAAGTTAATAAGACGCAAATACGCGTTTACGTCTAACACGCTATGTAAAAATTGAGTTCATAATAAGAAAAAAAGACCACATCTAACAACTTGCGCCCTATTTATTTCGTAAAATTGATTTCGCATAGACGTATTTGCCATAAGCGCCTTAATAACTTACTAAAAAAAAAATTAAACAACAGTTAGTTAATAAAAAAGACGCAAACGAGCATAAACGTCCTTTTTTTTAAAAATTGTGTATAATGCGGAGCTTGCGCGGGGTGTTGGGGGGGTATGTTTTGTACGGCGCCTGACTAGTTTCTTTGCCAGTTGCGCCCGAGTAAGTTGTTGAAGAGATGTGTCGCGGTTGCGCAAGTTTTCGCTGCGTAATTCGTCGTATAAAGTAAGTAGGTATATTTATTATTTTCTGTTTTGGTATAAAAAATAATATCAAACTAACATGAAAATAGGTCGATGCTTTGAGTTAGTTAATAGGTAAAGCTTTAGCTTCCACTAGTACGGAAAGTACAAAAGTACTGGAGAAGAAACTACAGAGCGTATGACAGTCTTTGCAATCGTAGTTCAATTTTAATCTGTTTAGTTGATATAAGTGATTACAATCTGTTTAGTTGATAGTGTATGCCACTGATTCATTAATGTACTCAGAAATCGACTTGCGCAAGACGACATGCATTCTCCATCCTTGGGACTTTCATTGAAAAGCCTGTATAATGTCGCAGCTAGAGTTTTGACATAATCAAATCGAGCTGAAAATTCCCCGAGTGCCTTGCTCATTGTGATTATCAAATCGCTGCTGGAAATAGGTTTCTCTTGTAAACATATGTCCACAGTTTCGCATCAGGCGCAAGTATCGTGCTCTGGAGTATCAGGATTAAACTCAGGTGACGTTATTTTCGTGCTGGCTGCACGTGGTTCCCGTATAGTACGAATGAATTATATCATATTTTGTTGCTGCATTTTAAAAAGACGAAGTTTCCATATTTTAATCTCCTTATCTTGTGAAATATTAACGTGCTGACCTGTATTCTGTTCCTGAGTCGTTACAGGTAATCCCACTTCTGAGCGTCAGAAGGAGCCTCGTGGCGGTCATGGTTGTCACTTTCTATCTTGGGCGTTGTAACGACCGGAATTCAAAAATAAAGGCACGCTTGTATTATTTGGTTTCCTCGCTATTTTATTCACAATCACACAATCAATAAGATTATTTTTTTTGTGAGGGGAAAATCATCAAATGACTTCTCCCGCCCAGGGTTGGGCGGGAGGGAGTGTCAGACTCTTACTGACTAAAAACCCTCCTGTTCCTTCTCCTTCTCTGTGCCTAGGTCGCGGTTCCTCATTGCGCTTACCCCGCAACCCCGGCTGAACATCAGCCATTTAGGGGCCCCGTCTGTGGTGGTCTATTGGCTCTTTGAGGCGCGCGCGGAACGCTACGCGCAGTACGCTCGGGCCTGGTTCTGGTCGGGCGGCGAGCTGCCCTTACTCGCTCGCTGGCCGGAGATCGTCCCTTGATCCCCGACGCCCGTAGTTACTTTACTTACTTGCTATAAATAAACTAGTGCTTGACTGCGATCCTACCTGATGGTAAGCAATGATGCAATCTTTGATGGTAAGGCGCACTAGTTTATTAAGAGCCTATTCACTCTAGCCTTGAAGACACCTAAATTATATTTGGACGGAAAGACTGCAGCCGGCAAACTGTTCCAATCCCTCGATGTACGCGGTATAAATGACGAGGCAAAGCGCTTAGTCCGGGCCAGTAGTGTTGCCAGTTGCGGCTGCTGGGGCGTGAGAAGGAGGATTGCTGCCTCACGCAGGCCGACTCTCTCTTTGCGAGCTTGACTGCTTCACAAAAGGAGGAGACGGCGTCCCAGTTCCTCTCACTCCGCACCATGGCCTCGGGAAGGCCGGGCGCGAGAGGTCGCCGCCGCCGATCACTTCCCTGAGGATACGGCGGTGCTCAGCGCAGGCAGGGCATACCGTTAACGTATGCTCCACCGCATCCTCTAGGTGGTCCTCACAATGACGACACTCGGGCGTTTCCTCCCGCTGGATTCGAAACAGGAACCTACCGAAGCTGCCGTGCCCGGTAAGCACCTGCGTCAGGCGGAAGGTGAGGACGCCGTGGCGTCTCTCAAGCCACTCTTCAAAGAGGGGTCTTACCGCTGCTATAGTAGCGTGCCCGACAATCAATAAGATGGAATGAGAATTTGAGCCAATAGGTTAGCGTGTACACTTCGGCTGGCAGCTGTCAGCAAGATGCCCGCTGCCATTCCTCGTAGTGACACTTACTACCCTATTCGGGGTTACCCGCTCATAATAATGTTACCAATAAATTAAAATTGAGTTATGATTAACAATCAATTGTAAAGACAATACAATTATCTTTGTTATTAAAAATAATCCATAATCAGTCGCCAGCGCCGTCATATATAATTTTAAGTTTTGAGCCAGTTTAAGGTTAGCATTTTGTGTTTTGTTATTAGTCAAAAGCATTTTAAATAAATATTTCATTGTATCAATTGCGTTTTATTTAATAATAATACTATGTGGCGAGCTGTTGGGCAGTGGCGACCCCACGGACCTGACTCCCGGGAGGTGTCTTGTTCTTCTCTCTCCGGTTAGTCCTCGTGACTAGCTGGAGTGAACACTGATGAGGAACAAGCCCTCTCACCTCATTCTTGCCTTAATTGGCTGGCTTGAGTGGAGATTCGCAAGAGTAGGAGTTGAAGGAGACTCGGGGGAAGGATGTATCTCAGTAAGATGCTGGTAGGGGTCTTGACCGTACTTCCGGGATTGCTCTGATAGCCGTGGGATGCCTCTCCTTCCCCAAGCAGCTCAACGTATGTTGCCCCCGTGTCGCTACATGCTAGCGGCCGTTTCCGGGGGCCCATTAATTGAGTTTGCCAGTCACCCCCTGCCTGTTTATCCGTATGTATCAATATTGGTCAGGGGCAGGGGCCATAGTATTTCCATAGTTTTCATCCACTAGTCCATAGCAACCCATACCCATAACCTTATAAATTTTTACCACATTTCGCAATAGTCCTCCATCAACCGGGGATTGTCCTTAGGTGCACTTTCATAGTGCATACAGGGATAACTGCCGGCTGATGTCCCATTTCACTTATATTAAAGTTGTTCAAAGGGCCTCTGCGAGTTGCCTTCGGCCCCTCGTACGCCTTCCAAAAGTCCGGGACCCTGTGGTCGCGTGAGTGGAAAGGAACATACTAATAAACTCGTAGTCATCATAATAAACTATTCTTATGATAACTACGAGTTTATTAACATTTAAACCATAAATAAAAGAATTATTACATTATTATTTAAACATTTTATCTTAGTCAAGGGACATCTATGAAGTTATTTATTCTTAAGAAAAAAGGCGGAAATGACCATATGCGCCCATTTTTGTTAAAAATATATACTAGATAAATAATATAAATACTTAGAAGAAAAGTACAGGCAAAGGCGTTTGAAAATTAAAGGACGCATCTAGCCATTTACGTCTATTCAATTAAGTATGTGATATTTTTCCTAATTTTTTATGCTAAGATGAAAAGGTTTTTCTAATATTTTTATTATAATAATTTAATAAATTCATATTATTATTAAACCATGTCAAAGGTCTTTTTAATGCGCTTTATTTTCAACTTTTCATATCTAAATATTTTAATTCACACGAACACAGCAAACAATTTCTTGTTTCATTCACTAAAACATTTTTTTCTCCGTTTTTACTTTTTGTTAGATACGTCTTTTCAACTATCAGGGGCAGTACAAGTCCATACCTAGTACTAATTTGCTACTAGTACTTTAGATTTATGTACACATCATCAGCCTACAAGTGCTCACTGCTGACCAAAAGCCTCTTCACACATAAGGAAAGTTTGAGCATTAATCACCACGCTTGCTCCAGTCGAAATGAGAATTTCAAACTTGTAATTAGAAATTATAAGTCCAGGTTTTTCTTCGGCGTTTGCCAGTGGTATCTAATTAAACTTAAGTTTATATAACTTGGAAAAAGTCACATAGGTTCCTGGCAGTTTTCGAACCGAGAGAGTCTCTCATACACGAGGAGCGGGCGCCCTAAGGTCCGGGCAGCCACGAAAATTACTATGAATATTTTAATGTCGGTGTATAAGAAACTCATAAGGAAACTGAATTAGTACTATTTTGGTCCTTGTTGAAATCTTCTTAACTGACAATGCACCAGGTGACTGGCTGCCGTGCAACTTGTCGCGGGTCCGATTGCCGCACGGAACAAGAACAACTATTTGTGTGATCCGCAAATTGTTGTTTCGGGTCTGGGTGTGATGTGTATGAGAAACTGTATTGTTTTGAACTTTCTTTGAAAAAAACTTAGCTAACTTGAAAACATTCTAGTGTAGGACAATGTTTTTAAAGAGACAAAAAAATTTTGTGTGTCTAATACGCATTTATGCCGAAATTGTTTTTCCGGTAATGATTAAACTTGCTAAAGAAATTGGCTGTCTTAAATTAAATGATATATTAATTAAACAATGGTTACTATTAATTGTGCAACTATTATACAACAATACACATAAAGAGTCCCGTCCTTAACAGATAACGCATGTTGTCTGAATGTAATTACAGTAATTGCCGAGATAGGTGCGTATGTAGGTCGCACGCGTGTGACGACGCACTCGACTGTCTTACGCTTTATTATGATAGATGGCGCTGCGGACGAGGACGATCCTTTATGATAACTATTACAATAATAATAATGTTTTCCTTGTACATAAATTGTTGGGACTAAATGTGATAACACTTGTCTATACTTAGCATCGATTTACGAATGTCATATTTTTCTTTATTTTATACTTCAAAATGATTTTTAATGGTGTTTTTTTTGTTGAACACTATAATTTTATTATGCCTTCGTTGACAAAATCAAAAATTCGCACACATCCAGATCCGTAACAATGCTTGGCGAGTTTGAATGTGTGCGGGAATGGAAGCCACTACACCCCGTTGCCCACCCACTGAGTTAACCATACAATTATGTGCTAAAGATGAACCATTTTTCTTCTGTTATTTTGAAATCGGCAGAAATTTGACCACGCCTGGTGGTAAACGATAATGCGATCTACGATGGCTCATGCTTATCCATAAGCAACCACTCGGACCTTAAAAACAGCCCAGGTTATTATACACTTCGGGAACTTCAGCAAAGCAACTCCTTAGCGGTTCGGATTATAAAACTGGAGGCGAACCGCTGCGTGTCTCTAGGTGGGATAGCCACCATATGTTATGTTTTCAGCGCTACATTTGAGAATTTAAAAATTGAAAAACTCAATAATAGTTTGCTCGACGCTAGAATACAGTCTAAAATATGAACTTCAAAACTCGTTTAAGAACATATTTTTCTTGAATTAAAATTGTCACAACAATAACGACTTACTTATAATATGAGAGATCTTATAAAGGCGTGTGTTCCATCGTCATTGCGAATATACGCACTAGTTCGCAATCAATTGATATTAGGCGTGTAGGCCGTGCAAACATTTGTCCCCGTTATTTTATGGGGCCTGATTGAACACTTAATATTCTCCGATCTCTCCTATTTAGAACGATATGCGACGGAACATTTATTTTTTATGGTTGTACTAAAAACGACTTTATGTTGTAATTGTATCGAGTTATTTGTTAATTGGTTAAGTAAAATAGAAATACTTCCAAAAAAAACATTTTGAACGCGCGAAAGTTTGTAAGGTTTTAATGAAATTTGGCGCAGAGATATATTATAGTCGTGGATACTCTGGAATAACCTATTACCTTCACTTACAGAAACTACTCTTTACCCTACTTACCTATCCTCTTTAAAGAAACTGGTTTGACAAGTGTCTTATCGCTGTGATTTCTGCAGCATGTTTTGTTTTTGATGTGGTTTGTTGTTTAAATGTTCTCTTATGTGTTAATGCATTCACGATACACAAAAAACGGTTTAGGGTAGTTTATATTTAAAGCAAATCACTTCCGATGAAAATCTGTAAGGCATCATGATTGCCGGGTTTGCGGGGCAAGCGGCCGCAGTTGTGGCGGCCTCGGCCAAAAGCAGGAGAAGGAATGGGGGTGTTTTAGTTAGTAAGAGTCTGACACTCCCTACCTTGGGTGGGAGAAGTCATTTAATGATTTTCCCTTCACAAAAAAAAACATTGTTGTCCATTACTGTGTCTAAATATTAATATTATGTTTCAGTACTGGGCTGGTTGAGACGAGCAGTTCAGCGTGGTTACGCGGTGGGTCAGTTCTGGTACCTGGTGGGTGCCGAGTGGTGGGCCAATTGGCTCGCCTATACCTCCGCCTCCAGCACCGACAACTGTTGCCGACCCCCAAACAGACATATCGACGAGGCCATCGTCTGCGATGAGAGTTTTACCAGCAACTCCACTGGTGAGCTAGCTTATTTGTACTAAGAGTCATGTATAAATGTGTTTTTATTTATGTTAAGTTAGATGAATAATGTTTACTGTGCATTGTTAAGTCATAAACTAAAATTATAAAGAGGTAAAATTTGTCAATAAAGAGTGACGGAAGTTTGATAAATCCATCTAAAGGATGTGGCAGTACAAAAAGAAGAATGAAGATACTGCTATTATTTTTAGGTAAATTATTTAGAATAGTTGATTTTTAAGAAATGGTAATTATAGATTAATGTTTATGGGCTCACTTGTATGAGATAGGAGATGCATGAGTGTGGAGTAAGTATGTTGTATGTTTGCGTGGGGCTGGCAGAGTCGATGGGGTCCCTGCTGTGGCGCGCGGAGACGGCGTCGCTGGGCAGCGGCGGCAGCAGCAGCGGCGTGAGCAGCGCGGCGGCGGCGCGGCGCGGGCCGCCCGGGCCCGTGCACAACAAGCGCCTGCTGGCGGCCGCGCCCGGCGCCGCGCGCCGCCTCACGGGCGAGGGCGGCCATCTGCGCCGCGACGTCACGCTGGCGCAGCACCACGACTTCGAGCTCGTGCCCGACGCGCTCTGGCGCGCGCTCGCGCTCTGGTACGGCGGGCCCGACCCGCTGCCGCGACAGGTACACTACTACACTATATGTGAAACTAGCGGTCGCCCGCGTCGATGTCCATTTTACAATCTCTTACGATTTTCTCTGGACTTCCACGAAAAATTAAAGGCCAAAAATTAGCCATATCAGTAAAACCATTGTAGATACGATAGCATTCATAATTTAGCCTTATCTGCAATGGACAGTCTTTTGACTAATATGTATCTCGGTGATGACCGATGATGCAACTTACAATGGCATGCCGTGCCCAAAAACAATCTAATTCACTCGAACTTTGAAATCACCCAGGTTATACCATTCGAGACAAAAAAGAACATAAACTCTGACAAAAATTCCCACTCATTACCACAAAATAAAGGTTATTAAAAAAGTCCTTAAAAAAATATTATTTGTTAAATTTAAAAAAGTAATATTTAAATCTTGCACTTCGAACGCTAAAGCTAGAGATTAATTATCAAGAAAAAAAAATATTGAAATCCTAATCCATAATCAGTTCCAGTCCAATACCCAGTTTTTTAATAATAATTAATTAAAATTGTTCTGTTTGTAACAGGTTATCCGTCCTCCGAATTCTGACGTTGAGTTGGAGCTGTACCCTCTGCATTTGAAGATATTGCGGCACGTGCAGAGTCCACAAAGTGCGTATTATTTGATTGGATTTATTTCGCAGATTATTTCACTACTAGACAGTATATTTACACAGATCATTAAGGATGTTTTTCGTGGTGATTATTGACCATGTTTGCTGGTGTAGGGATGCCCCCCGGCGGGGTGGCGGGCGCGGGCGGGGCGGCGCTATACAGCGGCGTGGCCCCGGCGCCGCCCGAGCGTCAACTCGCATACACGGCCGCCTTCTCCAGGCTGGCTACTGTAAAGCAGGTTCGTATTACATTCTCGTATATTTATTGTTTTTCTCTTCTACCCTATTAATCTTATGATTTATTTTGTTACGGAATCCAACACAGTCATTCATTTCTCTTAGACAGCCTTTATTGTTTCGCTGTTTTCATGGTTGTATCTTCTAGAGATTCTGGCTTACAGAAGTTGCAACTTTTGGGGCGGGCTTGGTACTTGTACTTGTGTTTAAAAAAGTTGTGTCGGGTTTAATCTCTTAGTAACTTAAAATCCAGTATATGTCATTGATCGAATATTAAAATATTCGATTACACTTTCGGGGAAGCTCGACTATATTTTTATTATAACTTTCGTGAGACATTCTAAATTATTTATTGTTTTCGGCTTACTCACGTCATAATTTGACGAGATACTCGACTAGTTTCAAGCCATGCTAGAGGCCCATATTCATGAGCAGCATTCCGCGACACGCGACTCGGCGACCGTCGCGCTGCTACTGGCTACTCGAGTCTGCGCGCCCAACGCGCCCTCTGCCGTGATTCACGCGCACTTTCTTCTAGCCGTGGTGTCGGCAGCGACGGCGCGCGCGACACTCTTGGCACGCTAGACTCGCCCGCCTGCAGCTGCGTTGGTGTTGGGTTCGAATCCTGGGTCGACGCAAAAACAGTGTTAGCTCGACTGGTTTCGTGCCACACTGGGGCTTATAATCATAAGCAGATTGCACTTATATTGTATTTAAGTCAAAAATATAAAGTTTGGTCTAGGTTGGCGGCATAAGCAAGTAGACCAAATAAGGCTTAATGTTATAATCCTAATAATAGCCATCCGTCAGGTATGTGACTTCCTATGCGCCGCGCTGGGCCTGGCCCGCGAGGATGTCCGGCTATGGCTAGTGACGGGCGGGTCCGCGGGCAGCGGCGGCGTACTGCTGGACGACGAGCGCCCCACGCTGGCCTCGCTGGGGCTGGACGAGCGCTCCCGCCTACTGCTGGAACTGAGGAACCCTGACCTCACCTGGCCTGAAGAGATTGGTGCGCTCAGGTATTGCATTTATAAATTATAAAAATAGAAGTTATTCTTCTCTTACGATAGAGCTATCTCTATCGGTGGCGAGAGCTATCTATATTGGTGGTGAGAGATCTCTATCGGGTGATTCGGAGATTGAATTTAGGTAACCAAAATTGTAGAGAATATTAGTGGTTAGTTTTCTGTATTGCATCGTAATTTTATATTTATTATGTTATGATTTACATAAGATATTCTTGCTTCTAGTATGAGCAGTGGGTCCAGCCGTGCCACGGAGCGCCGTGAGACCCTGATCGCTCCCAACCTGCCCGGGGCGACCGGACTACACAACCTCGGGAACACGTGCTTCATGAACGCAGCTCTGCAGTCGGTGAGTCTGTCAACTAATCTATCTGATATTGCTGTATTGTTAACGAAACTTACACTATGAAAATTCAAGAATAGTACTATTATGGAAAATAACATGTCTAAGTAACCTTTACCTAGGTTTGGTAGTGGAGGTAGGTGAGATCTTGCTTTGCACCAATCTCGTTTCTAGTGGCCAGGTCGGTTCTGTGGGTGACGCAAGCGTTTAGAAGGCAAGAGTAAAAATATTGATTTTTAGATATTGCTTACGTTCTGTTTGTGGTGAAGGAAAAGTGTTGAGAGATAAATGAAATACTCAACTGCTGTAACTATTGAAGTATATTAATAAAAGATGGCACAGTACAAAGGTCTCTTGAGCGGTTGCGACATTAATACAAGTACGCGTGTGCGCGACGCTGTGTCTGTGGCCGAATGTCTCTCCCGGCGCCTTTCCGCTGTATTGGATGTGTTCCGTGGCAGAGCGTTTGTGGGTGCGTTCAGAAAGTTATTTGATCAATTCACCATCCTGACAAAATAGGTGGTTACGATATTAGCAAAGCTAATGGGTCTTCGTTGTTGTAGGTATGGAACACGGGTCCCTTAACGAGGTACTTCAACTCGGGCATGCACCTGTATGAAGTGAACACCACCAACCCGCTGGGCACCAAGGGCGTACTGGCGCTGCGCTACGGGGAGCTCTGCAAGGAGGTAAGTGGTGGGCGGGGGTGGGGGTGTTGTGTGGAGGTGGAGTACAGCAGTGCTTGTGCAGGTGTGGTCGTGCAGCGCGCGGTCGGTGGCGCCGCTGCGCGTGCGGTGGTGCGTGTCGCGGTGGGCGCGCGCGCTGGCGGGCGGCGGCCAGCACGACGCGCAGGAGCTGCTGGCCTGGCTGCTCGACGCGCTGCACGAGGACCTCAACCGCGCGCCCGCGCCGCGCCCAGCGCCCGCCCAGCCCGCGCCCGACTCGGCGGGCCGCGCCGACCGCGTCGTGGCGGCCGAGGCCTGGGCGCAGCACACGCAGCGCAACGCGTCCGTCATCACGGACCTGTTCTACGGCCAGCTCAAGTCCAAGGTGCAGTGCGACACCTGCGGCCGCGACTCCGTGCGCTTCGACGCCTTCAACATGCTCAGTCTGCCGCTGCCCATGGAGTCCTACGTCTGCTGCGAGATTAGAGGTACCTACTGCACTCTCTTAACTCTACTGCCTCGAGAGATCATCTCCGACCACCATAATCGCGGATACAGCCGACGAATAAAAGTAGATTGTTGCCAAAAGCTTAAAGAATCAATATACTACCACAGACAGAACCCTATAAAACTGATGTTTAGCCGGAGTTGCGGGGTAAGCGCAATGACGCACCTCGGCCTCAGTCTAAAGCAGAAGAGAGAGGGGGGTTAGTCAGTAAAAGTCTAACACTCCCTCTCATCTCACCCTGTGCAATCATTTGATAGTTTTCCACTGACAAAAAAACTGCTGCCTATTCCTCTCCTTCATCTCATACTTAAAATACAGTTTAATATTGTATAATTTGTTTCCGTTACAGTTATATTACTGGACGGGTCAGTGCCTATAAAATACGGAGTACGAGTGAACTCGGAAGGCACATATTTGGATCTCAAGAAAAAGTTATCAGAACTATGTGGACTAGAGCCTGAAGCGTGAGTGTTACTGATTTTATTATTAGTTGTACGTATTGTATTAGTAGTTGTATTAGAAATCTCCGTTCAATCAATATGAAGTAAATCAGTTACATTTACTTCATTGGACAAAGTAATAGCCCTATTTGACTGGACCTTATCTGCAGACGTCTTATAACTGATGATTGTGACGATGACGACGAATATGTCGAGGTCGACGTAGACGTCTTATAGCAGTGATCACTATGACAAAAATGATTATCAATGATCATCAATTATAATAATGATAATAAACTGGTTTATGGGTCAGTAAACGAACAGACGGAACACCTGATGATAAGCAATCGGCGCTGCCCTTAGACGTTCGTAAAACGAAAAGATTTGTTAATAAGCTGGGGATTGAGGAAAGGGATTAATTTGGCCTCCGGTAACCTCATTCACAAATGCGAAAGACAACATAAGAGCTAGCCCATACATGCATCCAAGCATGACTGCCTCACTGGGGCGATCGGAAGTCACTACAATGTTAGATTGATCATGTGTATCTCTCCCAATTTCGTTATGATATGAAATATACAGTGTTATATAATAGCTTTTTCAAGCACAAAATAATCCTTGCACATTTCAGGATGCTAATAGTAGAGTTATCGGGTGCAATGATCGGTCGCGTGTTCGAGGACGGGGCGAAGATATCGGCGGCGAGCGCTACGGAGCTGTTTGCGTACGAGATCCCGCGCGACGACCCCGACACCGACTGCAGCGACTGCGAGGACTACACGCACGAAACTAACGGTACTGCATACTTTATCCTATTTTTCTATAGTAACTTACCAAAGGTCCAATCCTTCCCCTCCCTCAATCCCTAAATCTCCAAATCCCTAATCCCCGAAAGTTCGGCAACCCTTAAAGGGAGCCCTTAAGGGTTGATGTTCAGCCGGGGTTATAGAGTATGCACAATGAGGCACCGCGGTCTCTGCCTAAAGCAGGAGAAGGAATACTCCTTTCCGACCGACCCTGGGATAAGCCGTTTGATGATTTTTTCCTTCACAAAAATAAAAACAGCTCCTCTGTTGTTGCGGGTGTCCATGGGCGGCGCCAATTGCTTACCATCAGGTAATTCGTAGGCTCGTTTGACGTCCGATCAAATTAAAAAAATAAAAGATTAGCTATCATGAGACATTTGACAATTTATTGAAAATAATAACTTACGTGAATTAATTGAGGTTCTACTAGTTAGTGCGCTACGTCGCTGCGACGCGCAAGCAGCTCATGAATAAAGAGTCCCGTTGTAAAAAAGTGTGAAAAAGACTAATATAACCATGGAGTTTCTTGCTCGTTCTTCTCCTTAAGAATCTACACTTTGATAGAGCAAATAGTTTCACTAGATGGCAGACCGACTGTTTTCTTGTTGATATTTATTAATTATTTGTTTGACATTCAAAAGTACCTATTACTGGTCTATTTGAAATAAATGTTTTGATTTTGACTTTGACTTGAAATAAGTATAGCTTTTCTCAGTTAATTTAGTGAGTATGCCGTTATTTTCAATAATTAAAAGACTGTATCTTTTTAATTATTGTTTCTTAAAAACGCAAAAAATATATATGTTTGTTATTATAGCAAGTAAAGACTTAAAATTGATTCCTTTTTTCATGGATCATCATTGTCCTGTGAATCATTTTTTATTTGTATGAAAATAATAATAATAACTGTTTATTCACACCAATAAATAAATATCACTACTTAAACGTCTATGAAGATTAACGGTATTTGTCGTAGCTAGCGCCGTTGCTAAGTTATGAGATGTTTGTATAATGATGATGATGATGTGTTTCCATAACGCGTGGTGTATGTCCAGGCTGGAGCTCGGAGTCCCCGCAGTGGGCGGAGGTGAGTGTGGGCGGCGGCAATACTTCCTCACTCTGCATGCCAGCACTCTTCTGCTTCAAGGTTAGCCTAGCACTGCACCCATACACACACACACACACACACACACACACACACACACACACACAACATATACACACACACAGATACACCTGTATATACATGGGGTTGAGGGCGCGGCTTTCTGATATATATTTTGTTATCAAAGTTGACTCTTGTTTAATTAACTGACATAAAAATAATGCAGAAAAAAAAGAAAAACGTATGTATTTTGCCCGAGTATGTATTAAATGCCTATCCATGTTATTAAAATTTCTTGTATACTTTAGTAACTGTTAATTTTATATTTATCTGGTCTAAACATATGGGATGTAGGACTTATCCAGAATATATTATCCATACCCTAAATCAGAAAGGACTAAACGCATAATCTGGGGCTTAATTCAGACACCTAGAAAAATTTCCTTTCAAATATTTTAATTTATAGATACTTGTCTCATATACGAATAGTAATACTTGTATCGTTGTGAGAAAATAGAGTATAACCTACATGGGGTTGACGTATCCAGGTGGATAAAAACCCCTAATTAAAATAGAATAAAAAAAAAATGTTTATCTGGTCGGTAAAAGGAACTGATTTCCGAGTTCGTTTTGGCTTTTCTTCTCACAGCAATCAGATAGGAAATGCCGGTTTCATCACACGTACAATGTTGAAGTGTAAAAGTCCTGTTTTATGGCCTAGCTATTTGCAAAAATAAATTCATTGTCAGTATTAATGTACCTTGTTGAATTACTACGAACAAATATGTAGTAACTTTAAAGCCCTTCGCCGTAATATCAGAAAGCCGAAATAATATAAACAAAAACCTAATACACAAGTTTAGCGATTTCATTAAAATTGATTGTACACATAAAAACGTTTTCAATAGCACTGATAGTTATTTATTGGTTCTTGTTAGTAATAAAGAAGTAATGAGCAAAGATCATTAACAAAATCTACGGATGACACGTTGGTTGGGAAACCGGCGGCCGTGCTATGTGTCGAGAGCTCAATTCCGGCACGGAACAGCTGTTTGTGTGATCTACAAATTCTTGTTCCGGGTGTAGATGTGATGCAAATGCTAAATTGTACACTTGTTAAAGAACACACGATACAGGAGAAAACCCGAATATGGGGCAATGTTAAAAAAAAACATATTTGGACGTAATAGTTATTCTATTTTATTAAACGATTATTTCCACGTGCATGAAAACGTTTTTATTTATCCGTTTGGTGATGGCATGTAAGTGTAAGCGGAAGTCATTCAACTACCTTACATAACAAAACAATATTAATATAAGAACATACTGTATATTGTCCCCGATTATGACGTCTTAATGTTGTACAGTCCCTACTAACTATTGTGTACAGTTCTCGCTCTAGTTGTCTTGTATACCAGCTTAAATATAGCTACCTCTTACTATCACATAATGAAAGAAAGAGACGACTACATATTCTTTCCTGTTTTAATTAGACACGTATGTTTGTCAATTCAAAAATATAATTAATGGAGAAAACCGTATATTTTAACGAATCATATAGCATATACTTGTTTCTTTCTTTTATCACCGAAGTGTAAGGGATAGTAATATAATAAGGCTGGTGTCCAATGCAATGAGGGTTGTTCGTTTGTCTGTGTCGAGTTCAGCGAATGGCGGAGTGTTGACATGTCCAGGTAACAAATGGCAACCGATACTGCACTGTATACGCCATTATAACCGACTTATACCGTCTAACATTATGATTTCAGTAGATAATGGTGTTTTATTAAAACTTTATTTGCATTGGCAATACAGTTATTACAAAAACATCAGTGTTGCCAACCTTTCTAGTTTTTTTTTACAGTTAAATGTTGCAGTAAGTTTTGTTTTTATACAAAGTTATTGTTTAGTTCAATGCTCATAGAGAGACATTATTTAATTCGACATACTGACTGATGCACTGCCCACTTCATTATTATTATGTGTTTTCATTAGTATCGCTAAGTGTAACAGTTTTTAGACTCATACTCTGTGTGTTGAAAACCTACTCCATTCCTACTTAGTTTGTTTGATATTTAAATAGTCTTTGCCTTACCCCATTATGACGGTTTACATATAATTTAGAAATTTTTTACTCGATTATTAAGATGGCGAAAAAGATTTTTTTTTGTCATAAAAACTGGATGTGACGAAAGATTGTTTACTAACGCTACCGCATCGCTCAGTAACAAATGTACTATTTCAAATAAATATTTAGACATATATATAGAAAAAAATGTATCCTATCTTTTAAATATGTGTTTTACCCCTATGGTTGTATGGATGAGGTTTTCATAATTCAGTTAGGTTATCACCACGTTAGTCATGCGCTATGTGTCCGTAGATTGTGTATATGTACATACTGTGTTTGGTAGAGGTCACTCTACAAATTCGCTTCTATTTTAATTTCCAATTTTCCTGTAAATTTTGCCCTTTGTTCAGTAGAAAATTCTGTCCAAATTTAAACTTTTGCTTTAACAAAGATTTTAAAGTTTTAGATTCCATTTTTCGTCAATCTTGATCTCGGTTCAGAGTCGAGGAAGCTTCAAAAATATTTTAACAATGCAAATTAATATTTCTTTCTAATTTTTTTTAATATGCGTCATATATGTCTTTTAAGCTTTGATAGAGGGGGAAGTGGAAAGGTGTAGGCAATAAACGCCATAATCTACATGTTAATCGAACGACGGTTTCAGCGCTCGAGATCGGAAATTCTTATGTCCCAGAGCCCCCCGAGCGCGCAGTACACGCACGGCGTGACCCCGGCGCGCTGCAGCACGCTGCCGCGTGGCACGCGCCGTGACCCCACGGCCCGCGACGCCTCGCCCACGCCCAGCGCGCGCTCGCTGACGCTGGCGCCGCGCTCGCCGCGCCTGTCCAGCGTCAAGTTCGGCTCGTCGCCTTCCGACATGTGTCGCCTGGGAGACTCCAGGGAAGCGCCCGGCAAGATACAGTATCTCGTCGCTGTGCATAGGTCAGTAACCACGTCTTCGTATTATTATTTTCAGGGACTGATACTTTTTTGTGTGTGATAGGACGGCAAACGAGCAGACGGATTACCTGATGATAAGCAATCATCGCTACCCATGGACATCCGCAACAACGGAAGAGACCTTTTTGGGGGTTAGTTCTTTTGGGATTTAGAGATAAGAGAATTTATCTTGCAATTAGTATAATTTTTAAGGAAGGATAGCGACAACTGGTGGCATTAATGAATAGAGTACAAGTTATAAATTAGATGAGCGTCCAATCAAAAGGAAACGGTCGGAAACCAATAATGAGAGGTTTCGCTATTGACTTTTTTTTGTGCGGGTGAATTATCCAATGACTTTTCCCGCCCACGGTGGGGCGGGAAGGAGTGTTAGACTCTTATTGACTAACAACCCCCGTTGCTTCTCCTGCTCTGGGCCGAGGTCGCGGTGCCTCGTTTCGCTTGCCCCGCTACATTAGCACTATATGGCTTTGTTTGTGGTTGTTTATTGGGTCCTCGATGCGTGCGCGGAACGCTACGCGCCGTACGCTCTGGTCTGGTTTTGGTGGGGCGGCGAGTTACCCTTACTCGCTGTCCGCAGACCCGCGCTTACGGTGCTCGGAGATCGTCTCTCTATCCCCGACTCTCGGAGTGTCACCTACTGCGGTGGTGTTGGGGCATGATGAGGAGGATAGCTTCCTAATGCGCTCCGCCTCCTTCTTTGCGAGCATAATTGCTTCACATAAAGAGGAAACGGCTTTCTCGTTTCTTTCGCTATGTACCATGGCCTTGACTAAGGCCGGGTGTGAGAGGTCGCCGCTGCCGATCTGTTTCCTTTGGAGATGGCGGTGCTCAGCCTAAGGAGAGGGCACTGCCATCGTATGCTTCACCGTGTCCTAGGGATGGTCTTCATACCTAATGACGACACTCGGGCGTTTCCTTCCGCCGGAGCATTTGAGAACACTGCGGTATTTTACAAGTTATAGACTTAGAGGAAATTGGTGACGAAAGGTGTCTGTTTGTGGGCGTAGGAAGCAGACGCGGTCGGACGCGTACTTCCTGCCGTGGCAGCGCAGCCGGTCGTCGGTGTTCGGGGTGCCGCTGGTGGTGCGCGTGCGCGGCGCGGGCACGGGGCGCGCGCTGTACGCCCGCCTGTGGCGCCAGCTGGCGCGCCTGCTGTCGGCGCGCGCGCCGCCCGCCGCCGGACACAACCACGCCACGGACTGCGACGACAGCCTGGGCTACGAGTTCCCCTTCCGCGTGCGTCTGGTGCGTCGCGGCGCCGCCTGGTGCGCGCGCTGCGCCTGGCCCCGCCTCTGCCGCGGCTGCGCGCTGCCCTCCGACGACACGCCGCTCGACCACTGCGGTACCTACCCTCTCTACCACACTACCCTCACTCCACACTCACAAACTATCTATGACTAATGACATTCAATATAATTAGTAATTAGACTGCACGGTTCAAGCCGTGGCACGGGTTCTTGGTCTAAGTGTAATGTGTTTGTTGGTAAATGAAACAGAAGAAAATCCTAAGGACAAAGTTTAAAATTACAGGTAAGCGTCGTCGCAGTAAACGGCCTAGTGTAACTCCCGCCGCAATAGACGCTGACGTGCCCAACACCAACTCTCCCGTCGCTAAGAACAAACTCAACCGACATGCTACCACGCGATTATCCGACGATATGTCGGTGAGTACACAAACCAATATAAAATTATTATTTATGTGCTCTATGGATTATTGTTACGATCAGTAGAAGTATCTACAATATAGAAATTACCATTCTTTCAAAAATAGGCGTTTTTCAATACACTTTTGCGCATAAAGTAACAATATTGCGCAAAACATCGCGCAACTATTGCGTAAAGTATTGCGCAACTATTACGCATGAAATGATACGTGTATTTGATACAGGGTGAATGTGAGAGCGGCGAGGTGGGGGCGCGGGAACTAGGCGCACTACTGGCGGGATCGCGGCGCGGGGACATCATGCTGGCCATCGACTGGGACCCCACCGCACTGCACCTGAGGTACCAGTCTACCAGGGAGAAGGTGCGTAGTGTAGTACTGCTGAGTATGTGGTGTCTGTTGGTTCTGCGGGTGTTATAATAAGCGTGTGCCCCAGGCGTGGGTGGAGCACGAGTCGGTGGCGCGGTGCCGCGCGGAGGCGGGGCGCGCCATCGACCTGGCGAGCTGCCTGCGCGCCTTCACCAGCTGCGAGCGCCTCGAGCAGCGCTACCACTGCGCGCACTGCCGCAGCGCGCAGCCCGCCACCAAGAAGCTGCAGATCTGGAGGCTGCCGCCCATACTCGTACGTACTGCACTCGCTCATCATTATGTTTGCACTCATACATCTTCATTGCCACAATCTTATCTACCATAACACGTTTATTGTTTAAAATACACCTCTCTGAGATATGATTCCTAGATCAATCAGTTTGAAACGGCATGATTATAGTCATTATAATATTGCCAACGTGAGGGGTAATCATTTTGATTTCACTTCCACAGATAGTCCACTTAAAGCGGTTCCAATACGTGAACAACAAATGGATAAAATCACAGAAAGTAGTCAACTTCCCGTTCCAAGACTTCGACCCCACGGCCTACTTAGCGTCAGTACCTCAGGAGACCATACTCAGGCATACGGAGATACTCAACTCCAAGCACAGGTCATCAGTATTCGTAGACGACACTATATCCGAGTCCGACAGTGAAAACGAGGAGAGCAACGTGCAGCAGAAAGTCCAGAGGCCGAAGGTGGAGAGGAAGCGAAGGAGTTCCGTGGAGACTAAAGGGAGAGAGAGGTTGGAGTCGACGAGCTTGGTGACGACGCCGGTGACGGACGACAACCTGATAGACTACCACGGACACCACCTGGTGGCGGAGCAGGACCCGTTCGAGCTGAAGTACCGGCTGTACGCCGTGGTGTCGCACTCGGGGCAGATGAGCGGCGGCCACTACGTGGCCTACGCGCGCAACCCCTCGGGCGCCTGGCTCTGCTACAACGACAGCTCCTGTCGCGAGCTGCCCCCCGCGCCCGCGCCGCCCATCGACCCCGCCTCCGCCTACCTGCTCTTCTACGAGCGACAAGGGCTCGACTACGACAGGTAACTCATTACGCCCGGGATACAGAACATGCTTAATGCACAATCATGCCGAATTTTCGGCCTATGCGGGTTCGGGTCAGCTCGACGGAAATTGTACCACTTCCTTGCAAAATGCCGGCGTCAAATGTTATTTCCGTTACTCTTACTCTGTGAGCTCCGTTGTATTTCTAGTAACTTAATCATTCACAACTCAATGCGCAAAAAAAGTTGGGTTACCAACCATTGACACCTTTAATATCCTTATTGAAAGCAGTCAGCCACGCCCTTGGACACTGCGTCCAAAGGCATGGCTGACTGCTTTCCAATCAGATAGCTCGCATAGGTCCCATCAAAACATTTCAATAATATTGTGAATATTATTAAAATAAAACCAATATTCACCTATCATTTATTACCTTTTGACTTTAACCCCTTATTCTTCCCCCAGGTACCTCCCAGATATCACAGGCAAAGAGCCCGTGGTACGAGACGCCGAAGTACTAGACCCTGATGAGAACGACCTGAAGAAAATGTGCTCCATCATGTAAGAGTTGTGATGTCCAGCAGCGTGAGACTACTCGCCTCGTGGCCATGGAGCCACCCTCGTGGCCAAGGAGTCCAGCTCTGCGGTGTATTACGGGTTCAGTCCCTTAAGCTTCGAGTTGGTGACTGGGCGGCGCGATACTTGACAGCTATCGGTACTATCAGACTACCTCTACCAATGTAAAGCCGATATTCATTGCTCTTATTGTTTGGTTCGCTTTAAAAATGGGTACATTCCAGTTTTTACCGTTACTATGCAAATATGTACCTTAGTCAATAAGGTATGTATTCGGTTGTTGTCCAATTATTTATAGCGTCCGTCACGTCGCCAATTTGAGCTGACCGTATGAAGGTGGAATGAAATGCAGTTATTAAATATACGGCCCGAAGATTCGGTGTATAGTTTTGAAGAAATAAAAATATTATAATAAAGAAAATATTACAAATAAATTATTGAATATTGTGGTCTGTCTCAAAATATTTAAACTTATGTTAGAGCCGCGATGGGACCACATAAAAACGCTCAAAATTTTAATTAATTGAGTATATAATAATTTCAATGAATAATTTGATATGTATTTTATCTAAATTAATTTATTCACTGCCAGTTCTTTATAAAGGTATCATATAATTCTTTATTAAGAATGGTACATAAAATTAAGGCACTTGGCTTTCTGAAATAAAAAAATAAAATATTGTCATCCAGAAATATCTATACATCTGATCGCAGACGGCTAATCAAATACCAAAAGTTATGAACACAAATTTTAATTAATCTATTAATATATTAATGTATTGAATTGAATATTATCGATTATGACATTATTTCGTTTTTTTATAATATTTTTTGTAAAATAAATTATGATGTTGTCGATTATTTCGAGCGAGGGTTTGGCGTGATATTGCGCGGTAAGATGGTGGCACAGGAATTGTAATTATACAAGTATTTCACTGTGACACGAGCTACTTATTATTGGTCTAATATAAGCTGTGATGGAATGAAAACTTGAACATGAAATTATAATTGATTTGGTCTTTTTAGAATACAATAAGTTTGTTATTCAAAAATTATTCAACATACAATACAGTGGTATTGTATTTTACTTTCAATAAAGTGTGGGAGAGCTAAGCTTCGGCACGAGTGGATCCCTCACAAATCCTTAAATATTTGAAATCCCTAATGCGCAAAAGGTCGGCAACGCACTCCTAAACTACTTTGGCAGTGCGGGAGTCCATTGGCGAAGCCGATTGCTTACCATCAGGTAATCCGTCTGCTCGTTTGCCGACCTATGACATAAAAAAAATTTTGAGATGCTAGGAAAGTTTGCGTTAGATTAAATATTTTAACATAAGTTATTTTCTTTGTCGAGTGTCGAGTGACAGTGAAGTATCTTTATAATGTTACCAGTGTCCACAGCTCAGGGTATAGTTACAGTGTTTTGTTAGTTCTTATGATTGTGTAGTTGTAATGCATTCCTATTGTTGGTTCTTTTAAACGTTGGAGCAACAGGCAGGTCTGTGAGGTTGAAGCTTTATAGCTAATTAGTGCTTGAGCCAAGTGGCATATAAACGATGGTCGATTTAATGTCAACACTGACATATGTCAATGTTAATTGTATAGACAAGCGCTTAAATGCCATTTGGCTCATAGCACAGAAGACACACTTATCTACATTTTTTTAATTAAGAGTTGGTATTTATCTCAGTGTTCCCACTTGTTATAATAATGTCGATAAGTGTGTTTAAATACTTTTATTATGTTTTTACTATATTATGAAGTTTGGCAACGCGTCCCCTGTATATATTGTTCGTTTGACTACCACTAACCAGTGTTGGGTGAACGGATCTAGTGTCAGTAGAGTGAGTGAGTCAGGGCAAGTGTGATAATTGTTTCTGTTATTCTTTGTTTGTTGTATTCGTGTCTGCTTAGTGTTTGTGGGTGAGTTACATGCGATATATTTGTGGTTTCTATACACGGAATACTATAAAACTCTTGTCAAGGGTTCTTATGATAAGGCTGTGTTTCTCTGTCTAGTTGAGTTTATTTATATCTTACAGAAACGCAATGGTAAAATAGACATCTAAATATTACTAATATTATTTCAATAGTTTTTCTACAAATCCTGGATAAAAATAGTATTCTGAGTGTATAGGAACGACAGCGGTTCGTATGTGTCGGCCGCGTTGTCAGGCCGGAGTACGGCGGCGAGGGTAGCGCCGCGGTAACTTGGAGACTGATGTGATGTAATTATAAACGTGATGTGCTATATTTTACTCAACGGAATATTTTCTATTTAATTACTATTATTACTGTAGATAGTCTCGTCCCACGGGTTTTGTATCAAATTATTTATTGTTCTCAGTTTTACTATGTTTCTTTTATATATTTGTTAATGTATTACACAAAAAAAAACTATGAAAAAGAAATAATATTCGTTACAATTTGTTACAAAACACGAGGGGCGTAATAATAAAATAATATATTCTTCTAGCGCGAAACTATTTAGTGTTATTAACGTGTTATTGGCTGTTTTATGTTAATGCGATTAGTTTTAACCGAAAACGGTCGATATGACCACCGGCCTGCCACTTGTGCGCAAATATAAAACAAACAGAGGAACATTAAGTCACTTGTTATTTGTATGCGCAATATTTGCGCACCTTTTGCGCAACTTTTGCGCATTGGACATTGTTTTGCGCACAAGTAACAGGTTGGTAAAACGCGAGCTTCAGCATCCAGATAGCTCACTATAAATTATGTTTTGTAATAATCATACGGCTTAGGGCACAATGTCGTGATGCTTAATAAATTCTAGTGAGATACGATATATAAGTATTAGACGTATATGTTTAAGTAATATATTATTATTATTGATATTATGAGCCGGTGTGCACGATCCTAGTTAATCGTTTTATTGTAATTGTTTACATTTTATTCGAAATAATTTAATGAAAGTAGCTTTTATAACGCGACATTATGAGTTAGCGATGTTCGCTACCGACGTACCGGTAGTGGGACATCAGTGTGAGCCGGGACTAGTAGTGTGGTCCTCGGTGGTTTAGTCGATATTTAATTTATTCGGTCGTGTGCACCAAATAATTTGTTAATGGGGGAATCTGAGTGTTTGTGTCGCGGCTTGGTGCCATACAGGCAGTAGCCGCGCCAGTCGCCCCCGCGGCGGGCGCCCGTGCCATCGATCGAGTTTCCTTTCCACTTCTATACCAAAGCACTCTCCTTTCCCACTTTGTTGAAGCTTTAGTAAACATACAACGACTTCACTCGGCGAGCTACGAAACGTGCAGTTTCGATGTATCGCAAGCTTTGTAGGTTATGTATGGCGCTGTATTGTACTGGTATTCGTGTACCAATAACACGGTTGCGTTGGGTGTAATATCAATTTGTTATATCCAATTAAGTATTTTTGAGTATCCCTGTGCAATAAAGAATTTCTTTTGTATGTATTTTTGTGTGTTTTTGGACATCTCTTCTCCCATACCTAGTAAAAAAACACTTATATAGTATAAAACATATATTATTATAAAAATGACTTATAAAATAATTATTATAAATTAACACTTGCTTACAAAAAGCAAAGTTGCACGCAATGATAACAAAATATTAGTAAACACTTCAGTGGTGCAACTGTTTTGTTCTCAAGTGTGACTTACATCGACGGGACGGCATTAAAATACAAATAAATACTAATTTGTACAACAACGCAAGGCGTTCCATATTATGATTGCTATATCTAAATGATGTCACATGATTATATTTATTAATCGCGATCATATAACAGATTTACTTTAAATTTTCACTGAATACTTCAGAACGATTTTATTTTCAAGTGTTCAACTTTGATCTATAAGTTTATATTGTTATACTTCGGTATATCATCTTTCCTTTCACGGGACCACAGGGTCCCGGACCTTTGGAAGGCATACGAGGAGCCGAAGCCAACTCGCAGAGGCCCGTTGAACAGTTTCAATATAAATGTGATGGGACATCACCCGGCAATTATCCCTGTATGCACCATAAAAGTGCACCCAAGAACAATCCCCGGTTGATGCAGGACTATTGTGAAAAATGGTAAAATATTATATGGTTACGTATTTTTCATTAGCCTTACTTCGCTCGAATAGGCTATAATTTGACTATTCAGTATTATTTTTTTTCTTAAAAACTTTATTAATTTACAAAACTCAGACCAACTCATGTGACATCGCAGCTTAACAGTAAATATTTATGTACACTAAAGGTAGAGGAGTGCAGTGTGTAGTGACGTCACGTCTCATCAACCCCACTGCTGCCACGCCAGCTGTGGCTGGGAGTCGCTCGCCTGTAGTACGTTGGACAGACCGCCGTGCGGGACGGGGTACGGGGCCTGGTGGGGAAATAGTTATAAACATATGTAGACTTGTAACTTACAAATCTTACCTCTTTATAATATACTTGTTCTACTCGAAATATGTGTCATTTAACAGGAATCTTGCCTTTAATAGGAGGTTAACAAATTACAAAAAAATTGTATTAAACTCCAAACTATGACGTCATAGTATTTTAGTGTCAATAGCTTACTGATTTCTTAAAAAAATAACTAAAAATATATTTTTTTGGTGTCGACATCAGTTCGATGAATAAAAGTATAAGTACTTAGTTATTTTTTAATAATATTTTGTATTGAAACGTCGAGATAATTTATTTTTGACCTAGAAAACTACCCAATTATTTATAGTACCTACTAGTGTGTATATACATACTCTATCGTTTTCAGTATCATCTCCTTTCATACTTACATTGGTTATTCCTAACCAGCGCTGCTTGATGAAGTCTGAGACTCGCTCTCCGATCATAATGGTGGGCGCGTTGGTGTTGCCTGACGTCACGGCCGGCATCACACTTGCATCTGCCACTCGTAACCTGTCTATGCCTTGAACCTGTACAAAGTAGAAGATTAATTAGGAGAAGTAGACTTTCAGAATCCTATGAATGAACGAGACTAGTAAACCTTTGAAGTCTTTAACCTTTCTTAAGATTTCTCTAAGTATTTTTCCAGACAATCCTCAGGGTCTAAAGAAACTCTTTCATGACATCATACAGTCTCGCTACGTTCCATTGTGTCAAATTTTATTTTGTTTGTAGCTAAACTATTTTCATAATAACAAACCTGCAGCAGGTTATCAACAACAGCAGAAGGATCTCCTCTCGGTCCCATCTTACAGGATCCTGCTTGATGGTTCTCAGGCGCGGTCTGCATCCTCACAGCGCACTCCCAGTATGCATCACATCCGAATTTGAACTTCTCGCATCCTTTTACCGGGGTCTTGTCCAATTTGACTCCGTATCTCTTCAAGGCTTTAGTTTCAGCTAACTTGAGGGAGAACTTGATACCCTCCACTAAGGTTTTCACGTCATCTGGATGAGTTAGGTAACTGAAACACCAATGATAAATGGTTAAGAAGGTCCAATATAATTAAGTAAGACTTGTAGAATATAGGTACTTGTGTCGGCTGGGAGCTGTCATGCTCACTCAGAGGTCTCATTGGCGGTGGCACGGGCACTGGATCGTCCAATTCCCTATAATATGGTTGAGTTGGGCGGTGCTGGTGTACGTGTCATGTTCGTGAACGGGCGCCGCCTATTGGGACTGGTCATCTCCAGGCTGTCTAAATATGTTGTCCTTGAGGTTCACTTCTTTTTCGTACTTTTTGCCTGAACATTAGTGTTACATTGTTCTCACATATCAGAACCGACTAAATGATGTAACAAAGAAATGTATTGTAAAACTGATTGAAAAAGAGTAACCATGGAGTTTCTTGCTCGTTCTTCTCCATAGGAATCTACACTTTGGAACGAGCAAATAGCTTCACTAGAGGACAGACGGACAGACTGACACGCTTAATTTTAAAGCTCTTGTTATATATACTTTTTTCCTTTTTTGCTTGCTTGACGTTCAAAAGTGCCTACTGTGGTCTAATTGAAATAAATGATTTTTGACTTTGACTTTTGACTTTAATAGTTAACCTCCAATTTACAAAATCTGTGAAATTGTTCGCCGAATTGCTCTAATAGCAGTAAATTGGTGACTGATCCAATAACTATTTTTGGTATGCCTTGGTACTGATTATTTGCATAATAGCACGATTATGATCCCGAACTAGTTCGTCAAGGTTGCTATACCAGGCACCCTTCCCTTTCCATTCTTTAGTATTTATTCGTTCGGATTTATTGTGAGCGATGGACGCATGCCGAGGATTTAGTAAATTTTGCTGTTTATGTATAGCAGGATATTAGACATCGCAAATCAAATTAAATATGCTATGCTGCGCTACATGTGAGGGCGTAAACTTACTTGGCATAGATCTTGGGGTATTCAAACGGATCAGCAGATCTGATCTCCAACCGTCCTCTACTCTTAGGATGCAATACTGTAGGTATGATCTGAATACTCCTGGAGCCGTTGTCTAGCCTCTCTCCAACCATGCCAGTTTTCGCGCAGTCTGCCAGGAAGCCCCCGAAGAACAGCTGGATGTCAGGGTTGTCTTCCGCAGGGTCTGAGTACTTTGTGTTGATGAAGGCGGTTACTTCAGAGATTCCTGAAAAGTAATTACATACTTAATGGTTATTTTCTTGCAGTATCTCAGTGAATTCTTTGCCCCTAGATTGCCAAACTATAGACTGCTTGATCAAAACTTAAGCTAAAAAATTTCTCACGTACCAGTTCCTGACATAAGTCCGTCTCTGAAGAGCAGGTACTCCATGGCAGTGGCCCAGTTGAGGGGAGTGGTGTTGTTGTCATTGACTTGGAAGTTCAGGAAGTGAGCGACATGGTTATGCAGGTTGCGGCCCACGCCGGGCAGGTTGTGCACTAGCTTCACGCCAGCACGGGAAAGTACTTTGGGATCACCAACACCGCTCAGCTGCAGGATTTGAGGAGAGGCAACTGCACCAGCACTGTAGATTTCAATGAAGAATATAAACAAAAGAAATAGGTAGTTATCTCGTGTGTCATTATTAGATGTTTCACTGATGCTAAAATGTTGGAACAGACATGAAAATAATGAATGATAATTGTTAAGGTCTTGGGGTTAAACCTAATTTTTGATTTGGTTTGGTTAGAACAAGAATTGAAAAGAACTCACCTCAAAATAATCTCATTGTTAGCAAAAATAACTTCGGTGCCCCCAAAGCTGTTCCTGACTTCGACAGCATAAGCTTGTCTGGTGGTCTGGTTGATAAGTACTCTAGTGGCGGTGGCGTTCAGCATGACGTGGAGGTTGGGGCGGTTCTTGGCTGGACGCAAGAAGGCACGGGCGACACTTAGCCGGGAGCCATTGCGGTTGGTAGTTTGGGCGATTGAGAAGCCAGTGTGGTGGATACCGTTCAGATCACGTTGTTTGTATCCTGGAATAAGTAAATATCAGTCATCAGTTTGGTGTTCTGATAGAGTCGTGAATATCTGCAGGAGACTTTATAATAGAGATATTTGAAACAGAGGTATTTAGAAGAGATCTGTTTTAGTTCTCCAGTACCATAGTGATTTATTTCATATTTAGTAAGCGTTTTAATTAGGATATGCCGGACCTATGTTCAGTACCTATTATATTTCTTTTCGCTGGTGATAAAACGGAATAGAAAAACTACATATTGTGACTCACCCAATTCTTCTCCTGCTTTCACCAAGCTGTAACTCAGAGGCGGATGGTATGGGAACTGTGCGACTGTAAGCGGTCCTCCAGTGGCGTGGTATCCTTGATCCATTTCCTTGACCTGCTTGTTGTCTTCTGACTTCAAGAAGTAAGGCAGTACTTCTTCATAGGACCAGCCCTCGTTGCCGGCTGCTGCCCAGCTGTCGTAGTCCTTGCGGGAGCCTCGCATATACATCATGCCGTTCATTACTGATGTACCTCCGAGGACCTGGAAGCGGATGGATTAGGTGATCAAATGTTACGTATCAGCACCTCCTTACTTATAAACATACAATTACTCCTTTTATCCCGAAGCCACTTCTTTAGATTATAGATGTTGTACCAAAAAAGATTCAGTGGTTTTCTTTGATTTTCACGTCAGACTTGCCAGACTTCGTGGCAAGGTAAATAATGAGACTGTAGATGGTTAAGGTCTGTTTATTACTTTAATTGCTGGTGCTTATATACTAAGAAGATGCGTGAGATTTTCAGATTTAGCTATCCTAACAAACGTGCAACAATTAACATGTATGTCTTATCTCTATCGTATCTAAGTAATGTAGCGACGTGATAGTGCCGCTACATATACTCCCCCCTTTTAAAAATAATTAACATATAAATTGAAAAAAATTAGTATGTACCTAATTATATAATAACTTAACCTTGCTGATAAATTACATCCTATGCGTAATGTAATGTCATTGTTGCTAATTCGAAGGAAATAAAAACTGCTGCCTTTGTTGTGACGGCGGCGGCAGTCGATGAACTATCCACTGCATTTGTGCTGATACCGGTGGTCCTTTAGTGATAATATGATGCTTAATCTTGTGTTTTGGAGTAGTGTGGAGGGAGGCTGGTTTCGTAATATCCTCGTATTCATTTAATAGTTGAGTAATGCGTGGATTCGTCTCAATGTTAATAGTGCGGATTGTTTGCTGCGTCGATTTGATCAGGGTTGCGGGCGTTGTCAGCTCAGTTACCCTATCTATGAGTTTTCGACCAGCTATATCGACTAATAGCTTATAATGCTCTAAAAAATCTGCTCCAATAATCGGTTGTGTTACATCGGCGATGACAAAGTTCCATACAAAGTTTCTTCGTAGCCCGAAGTTTAAAGAGAGTGTTTTTTCACCATATGTCTTAATTTTTGTACCATTGGCGGCATAAAGTATACATTGTTCATCTTGTATTAGTGAATGTCTCTGTGGCTTGCTAATAACTGAAATATTTGCTCCCGTGTCAATCAAAAATCTCATACCACTTTTTCGGTCGGTAATAGTGAGGCGGTTGGACGGGTGAATAGCACAGAGTTCCGCCGTTGTCCGTGCTTCAATTAGTTTCCCTGTTTCCTTGAGTTGAGATCCTGTTTCCAATCACAAGGTTGAACACACTTTTGTGCATATTTTTTAAATCTTCCATGGTAAAAACAAAAGTGCCTTCTTTCTCTTGAACTCGACTGTGGTAGGAAATGCCGACGATTGGAATAACTTTGAGTGCTGCGTCGATAGTTTTTTTGACCTTGCTGAATTGCATTTAGTTCCAATTGCATTTCTGCTACCTGTGCTAGTATGCATGACATTGTATCGTCGCCAGATTTGTTTCCGTTTACAGCTGACACCTCTGTACGTGTTGAATTTATTAATATCTTGTCCGCGATCTGGCTCATCTTGTTCACATCTATGTCTTCTGTGACTGCTAGAACCGAAGTCACTGATGGTGGCAGAAGCCTCAACCATAGAAGTTTGATGGTTTCGTCGCTGATATTTCCGTTACTCAGGGTCCGCATCTTGCGCAGAAGATGTGATGGTTTCTGGTCGCCGAGATCCATTTCAGACAATAATTTTTGGAGCTGACGTTGGTCTGATTCCTCATAGCAACTGATTAGGCGTTCTTTGATAGCCTTGTACTTTTCTATTGGCGGTGGGCAAGTAATGAGGTCACTAACCTGTATTATTTCTTCTTTTGGCAGTTTTGCAATGACCGTATAGTACTTGTAATCGTCTCCTTGCTTCTGTGGTGCTACTATGGCTTCTAGTTGCTTAAACCATAATCTGGGTTGGTCCCTCCAAAATTCCGGCTGATATCTCCAAGGCTTCTTGTTGGCTGCTGCTTGATTTGCAGGGTGAATGAGTCATGTTGATTGTTCTTCGTCGGGTCACCAATTTGCCAGACTTCGTGGCAAGGTAAATAATGAGACTGTAGATGGTTAAGGTCTGTTTATTACTTTAATTGCTGGTGCTTATATACTAAGAAGATGCGTGAGATTTTCAGATTTAGCTATCCTAACAAACGTGCAACAATTAACATGTATGTCTTATCTCTATCGTATCTAAGTAATGTAGCGACGTGATAGTGCCGCTACATACTGCTATGCTATATACTGGACGGAATCAGGCAAATGATCCTGATGATATTATAGTAAGCTAATGGTAACCTTAAACTTCCTTACCTTGCCTCTAGGCCAGTAGCACTTGCGATCAGTTTCTCCGAGACAAGCAGCTGGCTCAGGTTCCGTCTGGTAGCCCCAGTCGATGCTCGACCCAATGAAGTTCAGGAACATTGACGGCACTTGAGCTCCAGTCGGCTCGTCAAATCCTGGAAGAGGAATAGTACAATATTACTTATTTATAATTATGAGGTATATTTTACTGCAATCCATTTCAATTGTCCGTATTTAAATTTTTTTTTCTGTGTATAGTACTAAGAGATAGACCTTTTCTTGTGTGTGGAAAATCATTAAATTACTTCTTCCGCCCTGGATGAGGGAGTATCAGGCTCCTACTGAACTAAAACCGTCCCATTCCTACTCCTAAAAATACCTAACCATATTGTATTAAAGACACACACTAAACTGTATTTACATTAAAAAGATTGGCAACTAACATAAAGTAGCTCATGAATATGGGTCTATAGCATGGCTTGAAACTAGTCGAGTATGTCGTCAAATTATTACGTGAGTAAGCCGAAAACATAATAATTAATTTAGTATGTCTCACGAAAGTTATAATAAAAATCTTCAATTCGTTGTATCTTACCAGCTTCCAGCAGTAGTACTCTCCACTCCGGTACCTCGGACAGTCGGGCTGCCACCACGGAACCTGCTGACCCTCCTCCCACCACTATGAAGTCATATACTGAGTCCATGTGACGACGGTACTGTGGAACCAGATAAAATATTATTAGCTTTAGTTATTATCGATGTTAAGAGTTATCATAAGAGGTCTGAACTTCTGTAAATAAAATGTATCTACTATAATTAAGTTGATATACTTTTTTATGTTCAAGTGCTTATTGAGTGAGTTTGTTTCTTTGACGTGTAAAAGTGCTGCTTTATGGCCTATTTACAAAAATAAATTCATTGTTTCATAGTTTTATTAGTAACAACATGAAATTGGTTCAGATGTTAAGTGAATTATTATATGCGAGTCATATGTATATAATTAAACAATGCTTTGGTTTTCGACTTCGACACTTGCAAAATATATAATTATAACTTTTTCACACGACATTATAAGATATTGCTCCACCCGTGGTTTCTAGAATACAACTATTGGATGTTTGGCATTATTGTTCAATAGTAATCTCTAATCATAATCTCCTTTTATGGAATCATACAATAAACAAGAAATCGGATCAAGGACTAAACTTAATCAAGACTTAAAAGTCAATAATTCCAATAAAACGTTGACAAATATCTAAAAAAACTTTCTATCACATTTAATATACTCGGCGACTATCTCAACCTTAAAAACAAGTTGTAGGTACCGAAAAATTAATTCACTTCATCGTCTTAAATTTCAAACTGAGATCTTTATGCAAAGCCTCATTAAACAATAAATAAATAACCAATAATAACAATAATTTATTGTCACCAGTTATGCACCGATTTGTATTACAAATTACAATAATTTTGATTGCAGCCAGTTGTTATGTAAGTCGTGCGATGCCGAAACTGACCGCAAATTTGTTGGGGAAGTGATTTCGTTTTGGTGGCAAGTTGTGGCCAACCTGGCTGTAATTGTGCGGTCATCTCAATGGGAGGATGATGGGAGATTAGCCTGATAAGTGTATCTGGTGATATGAGTAACTTCTTGTAACTAATTTGTTGAGTTGCTTGAACTAAGTGTTTTTAGTATTATATTTTTAAATACTTTGCCCCACTTTAGGATTTTCTCCTGTGTTGTGGGTGCGTTTACAAACATACAATGTCACATACACATGACACCCAGACCCGAAACAACAATTTGTGGATCACACAAAGTGTAGTTCCGTGCGGGAATCGAACCCGCGACACGTTGCACGGCAGCCGGCACCAACCGTGCCCAATCAGTATTGGATATAAATCGGTTTACTTAGCATAATACACATATGATTACCGATAATGATTCCTTCTTTGGTATAACTGGGGTTGCAGTTACAAACACAATAATGTATCGTGGCATTCCATGTCCCTGGGACGCACCGGACTTCAGAGTATCGATGTTTTCGTGGTTGTATCTATGTTGCGGTTTCAGAAGAAAAAAAAACAGTACTTATACGAATGTATGAATACTTGCATGTATCTGCATTTGAGTTAATTTTGTTATCAATAAACTGTTATTTTGATCACGATCAAAATTCGTTCACCATTTACTTATGTACTTAGTTCAAAATAAATTGTTAGTGCGCAATGATTTTTGTTGTGACGTATGTTTGATCCAAAAATAGAAAAAAAACTTAGTTTCGGGAGAAGTGCACTGAGTTTTAGTGGCTTGAAACGAGAGAAGAAACCGGTTAGTTTTTAGTCAGTAAGAGTCTGACACTCTCTTTCGCTTCACCTAGACCGGGAAGAGTCATTCGATGATTTTGCCCCTCGGTAACTAAATCTGAGATGTTATGGCAGCCATACTTTTAGATACATATTTTATCAATGTAGTGTTATATCAACAAACAAGGCGAAATATTAAACGCTAAATCGGTTCTCTGTACCTGAATATAATTTTATATTCGAATGAATTTACAAAACAAAATGTTTCTATCTTATACAAGTACAGCGTGGTCAAATGTGGTTATAAAAACAACTTTAAAGGACGTAATTAATTGAATTCCGGTCAAGAAAAAATAAGCAAAACTTTGTACGTGCATAACTGAACGTGACAGTTCTGCACACCACAATTTATTTCATAGTTTTAGTCAATATTCAATACTAGCTCTAGGTACTTAGGATAGGACATTTATTTATTAATTCAAATTGCCCCTTATTGGTAGGGGACGCCAAAAAATTATAGCGACATAATAGCAAAAAAAAACAATACCAAACCACGAGAATGCATGAAAATTTAATAAATGAGTTGTTCCGGAATCATGTCAATTGGCATCTCCACCATCATCGCCTCTACCTATCCAAGTTTGAGACAAGGAGAAAATCGCATAAAACATTGGTTTATGGCGGTTATTGCGGAAAGGTTTTTTTTTGTGAGGGGAAAATCATCAAATGGCTTCTCGGAGGGAGTGTCAGACTCTTACTGACTAAAAACACCCCTGTTCTTTCTCCTGCTCTGGGCCGAGGTCGCGGTGCCTCATTGCGCTTACCCCGTGAAAGGTTTAAATTCACTTTAAGAGAAAAACTCCCAGGGTAGAGGAATTTTGGAAGAGGAGTTCTACTTAATTAGTAGCATGTTAGGATAACTAGTATAACTTTTCTTTGTGAGGGGGGGGGGGGGGGAAGTCACCTAATGAATAAAATTAATTATGCCATATATACACTGTGTGGGGAAGTAAGAGTTAGACATGTAACTAAAAACCATCAATCTTCCCAGTCCTTTTCCTTTCTTGAGTCGGGTCATGGTTTCTGTATATGCATTTTCGACAGAACGGTTGGTGCGGTGTCTCTTCGACTCCCGCACGGAACAACACTTTGTGTAATCCACAAATTGTTGTACTAGGTCTGGGTGTGATCTCCCCGACACAGGAGACGTGCCATATGATTGAAATTAGAAATTTCTTTGGTTTATACCCATCAAGATTTCAGAGGCCACGTAAAGCCATACTATTAAAATGTGAATAGCAGATGAATGGCACACTTTCTGTGGAATACTAATTGCAGACTCAGACTACACCACTGCTCCAGACGAATTATTTGTCTTCGCCAAAAAAAACAAAACTATAATTAATTTGGTTTGTATTTCTTTTCACGTTTATTTCAGACAGAACGAACTATATAAAAGTGTGTTCAATGGTTTGTTCGTAATTATTTTCAGACGACTAATCCACGTTCAAACATGCACTTCCTATTAGCGACTTACATGTCCATCTTCATCAACATATAACTAAATTGTATTTAATAGGTACTTGTGTAGAATGTTTAAGGTTATTGATATAATCATTTCTGATGTGAAGTATACTGATAACGATGTTCTTACATAACCAAGACATAACCACATAATAAAAAAAACTTTGCATAACGTGATCACTATCGGAGATATGTTTTGTCAGGGTTCTTCGTTGGTAATTGAGTGGATTTTTTGAAGCCAAAGATTCACGTTTCTTGTTATTTTAAAACATTGTTGTCACCGGGGTGTTGGTATAAACATCAACAACCCAATCATCGTCTTCATAGTCCATCGCAGGGCATAGGAGTTTATAATCAGACCGAATAAATTACAAAAATAACGGACGTTCGGCGATCCGTCTCAGATGACAGTCACAGCGCTCGCTCTCCACCGTAGTGCGCACGCAGAACTGTGACGTTCCGCCAGGATACGATTCATTGTACCCTCGTCCGATGAATTGTGATAAAACCTCCTTCAAAATTCAATTTAAATAATCGACTTGCCTTCACGCATATACACTATCTTTATGTAAAGCTTAAAATTAGTAGAGTCGATGATTTAATGCAACCCCGATTTAACAAAAGTGGATCTTTTCTTTTAGCAAATGAAGTTGTATTTTGACTGCCAACTGACTGACCACTACTTACACTCTTCTTTTAAAGTGTGCGTTCTTCTTTGTGCTCCGTTGCGTCTGACTTTTAGCTTACCCTAAATGTAGGTAAGCAGAAGAAATCATACTCAATCTATAAATAGCCATATTGGCCTGGAAATTAAGTGGTAATTTATTTCAACGCAAATGGTGAAATATGAGCAGTGGATATCACTAACTACGTTAAATGAATATCAAACGCATGATCTTAATCATTGACGTATCCTGAACGGCTGCGACAGGCTCACTTCCTATGCAATTACATGTTTGTGCATGTCATTTGACAAGTTAAATGTGCAATTTGTTACCAAGGCTTTACTTAGACATATTGACATTATAAATTAATTAGTAGTTAGGAAGTATTTGATTGGTAATTAGTGTTAGATCTACTTATCAATATTGATTTCTTTTTAAATATGAAGACTTATTATGTAGACCTTAAGTAATATAAATTAAAGAAATCATAAGTGTATAAACAGTTATTTTTATGTTTATGTACTTTATGTAGGTACATTGTTTCTATGATTTAAAAGAATATATTGAAGCAAAATTATGAAAATTGAGAAGCTTAAAGAATAATGTATTAAGAACACTGTATTTTTTATACTTATTATTGTTTTGTAGCTATAGTTTAAAGAAGCTAACATTTTATGTTATACACTATGTGTCCTATTGCATGCCTATGTAGGTAAATTGTGCTGAGCTGTAAATTTATATTAAGATCATAATAAGTAACCACAATTAGTGCTATAAAGATTTATATTATATTATTATATGTTCTCCAATTTCGCTTTGCATTTTTTTAGTGACATGTAATGGGTAGAAATATTTTGCTTATCCAGCTGTAGAGGATTAGAAATAGTTTTGAGTGCGAGTTTGTATAATGTTAACGCGATCGAAATTTTAGGTGATTAGCCCTCTGGATAGGTTTGTAAATTACCAGACCGCCCGTACCTATGTCATAAACGTGTCGAACGTCTAATATACTATATATGTATACCTATACAATAATGGGCACTCCTTATGTTAAAATAGGTTTTTACAGTTATTGATAAATACATATAAGCAGAATCTCTAAACCTAATAAAAACAATGACAAACAAAATATCATTAGAACAATCATTCATAGATGAAGGAAAGCGATCGTGACACGAAACACTTCGTGACTATAAAATGACATCTAACGATAACGATGT